TATTGTTAGCTGAGATGACATGTATATATTGTCAGCTGAGATGACATATATATATATTATTTGCTGAGATGACATTTATATATTGTTAGCTGAGATGACATGTATAGATTGTTAGCTGAGATGACATATATATATATATTATTTGCTGAGATGACATATATATATTATTTGCTGAGATGACATATATATATATTATTTGCTGAGATGACATATATATATTATTTGCTGAGATGACTTGTATATATTATTTGCTGAGATGATATGTATAGATTGTTTGCTGAGATGACATGTATATATTGTCAGCTGAGATGACAAATATATATTATTTGCCGAGATGACATTTATATATTGTTAGCTGAGATGACATGTATATATTCTCAGCTGAGATGACATGTATATATTGTCAGCTGAGATGACATATATATATTATTTGCTGAGATGACATTTATATATTGTTAGCTGAGATGATATGTATATATTGTTAGCTGAGATGACATGTATAGATTGTCAGCTGAGATGACATGTATAGATTGTTAGCTGAGATGACATGTATATATTGTCAGCTGAGATGACATATATATATTATTTGCTGAGATGACATTTATATATTGTTAGCTGAGAAGTCATGTATATATTGTCAGCTGAGATGACATGTATATATTGTCAGCTGAGATGACATATATATATTATTTGCTGAGATGACATTTATATATTGTTAGCTGAGATGATATGTATATACCGGGGGGGGGGGGGGTATTGTTAGCTGAGATGACATGTATATATTGTTAGCTGAGATGACATGTATATATTGTTAGCTGAGATGACATGTATATATTGTTAGCTGAGATGACATGTATATATTGTCAGCTGAGATGACATGTGTATATTGTTAGCTGAGATGACATATATATATTGTTAGCTTAGATGACATTTATATATTGTTAGCTGAGATGACATGTATATATTGTTAGCTGAGATGACATTTATATATTGTTAGCTGAGATGACATGTATATATTGTTAGCTGAGATGACGTATATATTGTTAGCTGAGATGACATGTATATATTGTTAGCTGAGATGACATGTATATACCGTATTGTTAGCTGAGATAACATGTATATATTGTTAGCTGAGATGACATGTATATATTGTTAGCTGAGATGACATGTATATATTGTTAGCTGAGATGACATTTATATATTGTTAGCTGAGATGGAATATATATATTGTTAATAGCTGAGATGACAAAAAATCATCAAATATCAAGAATTTCTGGCATTTATGAATGGCTTTTGTTCAAACTTGGTACATACATTGGCATTGTGGGTTCCTGATGCACGTCATTTTATTTTTGACTCCCATGTGCGAAGCACAAAATGGGAGTCTTTGCAGTTAGTGTGTCTGTATGTGTGTGTGTATGTGTGTGTGTGTGTCTGTCTGTTCAACTGATATCTCAAGAACCATACATCAGTTTTTGATGAAACTTGGTGCATAGATGCTTTGGGCCAATGCGCAGATTTGATCAGGTTTTGGTAAAATTCCATGCATATTAATTAGCTAATTTGCATGATAATTAGCTAATTTTTAGCTGTTCTATGACTGTTCCTCTGATATCTAAACAACCACTCATTGGATTTTGATGAAACTTGGTACATAGATGCTCTGAACTAATGCTAGGTTTTTGATTAGTTTTTGGTAAAAATTACCTAAATACGAATTACCTAATTTGCATAATGATTAGTCAATTTTCGTTTTTTCCACTGATATCTCAAGTACTAATCATCACATTTCAATGAAACTTGGTACATAGACGTCATAGGACACTGCACAGCCCTGATAGTTTTAAGGGTAATATAAGTGCATATTAATTACATAATTTGCATAATTAATTAATTTTCAGCTTTTGATGTTTCAAGTAGTAGGCATTACATTTTAATGAAACTTGGTACATAGATACTCAAGGACTATGCAGAGATTGATTGTTTTTGGATAAATATTTGTGCATAATAATTAATCACCTAATTTGCATACTTAGTTAATTTCCAGCTTTTCCACAGATATCTCAAGTACCAGTACTAATCATCACATTTCAATGAAAATTGGTACATAGATTCTTTAGAACTATCCAGTGACCTGATTAGTTTTAGGGTGAATAATTGTGCATATTAATTACTAATTTGCATAATTAACCACTTTTAGGCTATCACACTGATATCTAAAGTACTAATTATTCCATTTCAATAAAACTTAGTACAAAGATGCTCTAGGACAATGTACAAGCCTGATTAGTTTGGGGTTAAAATCTGTTAATATTAATTCCCTAATTAGCATAATAATTCATAATATTTTTTGGTTACAATCACATTTCAATAAAACTTGGTACATAGATGGTCTGTTACATTGCGCAGACCTCATTAGTTTTACACTCAAATCTGTTCATATTAATTTTTTTATTTGCATTATTAGTTTTCAGCTTTTCTATCACTATCTCAATCAAGTACAAGTAATTTTGAATTATATTTAATGTGTCTCCAATACTCTCAGCACATGGGAGTTCTTTCTAAGCTTTCTTTGATTCAGATTGGATTTAAAATGGCCGACTGGTGGCCATTTTGTTTTAATGAATGCGCTTCTAGAGCCATATCTCTGACATGCTTTGACTGATTATGTTCAAATTTTATATATTTATTATACATTATGTTATAGATGTATAGATTTTATCAAAATGGCCGATTTTTTTATCTCTTAATACGTATTTGACGATCAGATATAAGATGTCAATGATCATTTTGATGTTAAAAAATCATAATCATATTCCTGACATGTTTATATTCCAGCTATATTACTATAAACAAAACCATATATTCTAAATTTGATAACTAACAGAGACTATGCCATGCACGTCTTGTTAAAATACAATTTTTTTTAGAGATTACAAGCATTTAATAGTGACAGAATAAAGGGTAATATATTAATTGTAAGTAATCTTAGTAAAAAGCAAAGAATTCAGAGAATTATAGTGAGCAATTGAGTTTCCTAACTTGCTGACCCAATATTTCTAAAACTTATTGTAAATCAAATCATATGCTTCCAAACTCATGCCATGCAATGAGAAAAAATTCTGAAGGGATAATTAGCCATGTGCCCACCCCTTAAAAATCATAATTTTTTGTGTTGAGTTCAAAAGTTGCTAAACATGGTTATATGAAATTGTTTCTTATCTGTGTCAATAATTTCAGAGTGCTACTCCCTGGGGGTGATCAGGCATTTGACACTTCAACTTATAGCAAGTCTGCCAAAATCATCATGAACTTGGCAATGAAGGTATGTGCATATTTCAATGTCTCTCTATACAACACATTTGCTAGAATGCAATAAAACTTGCTTGAGTGCCTGTTTATTTAATGACCTATAGTTTTCACCAATAATTGCAATTACATGTACTGTTAATGCACTAACTATAACTGAGATTTAATTTTGCTGTGAAAATTGCTCATAAACTCACGGGAATATGTAAAGTAACAAATAACAATAAAATTCATTGTGTTACTGAAAAATTGGTGAATTTAGAACCACTGATTATGCTCAAAATAATGAAACGAAATACCAGTGAAAATTATAATACTTTTACAGTACCAGTGATATATCTTTAAATATCATGTTTAGAGTTTAAAGCATGGGAGTCATCACCTGTGCATGCGACAGACGGTGATAGCATGTCATTGTTTTACTAACCAGCATCTTGCCATGAGCTTTTAAATTTTTTGCCTGTGTTGTTATTGTCTCTTGGTACTCAATTTTTGCATGTGCACTCCACTATTAGTTCTGACATTTTTATGTTTACCTATTATTATTTCATTACTATGCAGGCCAATGATAATGGTGACTATTTCCCTATGTGGGGTACATGTCTCGGCCATGAATGGATGATTTTTGATATAGCAGAGAAGTTTGTATTTATGGACACCAATAGTACTAACGTGAATTTTAAGTTGAAATTTGCATCAGGTAACAAATAATAAATAAATTGCAATTAATATTATTGTCATAAATTACTATTGATAACACTGTCAAATTAACTGCTAGACTGAATTAATGATATTATCAAAATTTTTCAGAAATTTGGTTAAAAATTTGTTGTTTTTGGCCTCAATAATTTTTCACTCTGAAACACATGACTTCTTTTGTTACTGATTTGATGTTTTCTTGGTCGCTTTTTGTATATAACAAAGTTAGTAAATGGGATGTGACATAGTCAACATTGGACTTGAGAATCACAGGTAGGCCTTTTACAGCAATTAGAGCCTTTTCCTTTCAAAATATTTAAACTAACTTTGATTATGGCCTAATAAATTTTCCAATTTTGGGTTTATTTTAACTCATTGTCACCCAACCACAATATGTGAATAGCAAGCTGATGGTGGGGATTAACTTATGTGTGAGTTCAATGCTTGTTCATACATGATAAGAGTAGATTGCAAATTGTTACGTAATTGGCACAGACATTTGTGTTTGACCTTACTTATTGAACTTAGTAACAGAGGATCATATGTAGGGATACGGGCAAAAGTTATTTTTCCATGTGTTTAATATGTCTATCTTTTTCTATTTTATTTTATATATTCCATTTTTATAGATGTTATGAATGTTTTTTTTAAAATTTATATAACTTTATATAATTCTTCTTTTCGATAAATAAAACCCACATATTGATTATCATTTTTTTCTTAGTTTTGTCCAAAATACATGATAATAGACAAAATGTTTCACAAGTTAAGGAGGTCAAAGGTTGTCATTGTTTGGTGTGTTTCATATATTACTGTGGAATACTTTATTTTCGCTGGAATTAATTTTCGCTGAAAAGACTTTTTGGGCGTTTTGTATGAAATTTATTTTCACTGATTTTTGATCAGTTTAATGTGAAATATAGGAAAAAAAGTATATTCGCTGGATTTTATTTTCACGGAATTTTTATCCCTCCAGCGAAAATAGCGAAAATAAATTCCAAGCGAAAATAAAGTAGTCTACAGTATATCCCATAGTGACATGTTGTTGTTTACCAGAAAATATCATTTGGAAATTATTTACAATTCTAGTGTTACTTTGTTTAGATTTTCAGACTAGTCGCTTATTTAATTCAGCACCAGAAAGGCTTGTTAAAATCATGGCAAACAAAGCTGTATCTTTCAACTACCATGAAACTAGTCTGACCATCAAGGTGAGTGATAATTATATAGGACTCCCTAGTTTGTTCATATTTTAATTATTTGATTCTCACATTTTCCTATCACACTATTATGACTACGTAAACTACAGTAGATTTTTTTAATTTTCTGAGTGACAGATTTTCATGAAATTTGTTAAGTCAGTAAAAAACACAACATTTTTTAGCCTTGAAAATTTCATTAGGGTGCTAAAGACACATGATCACAGTGACATTCAATAACTTTTGCCTTTAATAATGCCATTGAAGATGTGCATGTACATGTGTTACATAATTGTTGATGTAAGCACATTTCATCAATTGTTTTACCCAGTACAAAACATGCATTATTTCATGAAAAATAAATTGTATGTAACAGAATTTTCTAACAACTTGGGACAAACTTGACCTATGACTACATATGATATTTTCACTTAAAGTATGTAGATATGACAAAACCTTTTATAGTAAATTAATGAAAATCACCATTTTCATAGGTGTTTGACACATATGTTTGTGAAATGTAGTTTGGTGGCCAACAATATAAAAGGAAACCTGGTGATAAAAACGAAATGTGGTTGGTTTGGTTCTGGCTGTTGAGAACATGTCAACTTAACTTCATCAATCAAATTGTTCATAAAAATTATGCACCTCAAATATCAAAGCTGTCAGGTTGGTAGTTTTCGAGAAGAAGTCAAAAATTGCATTTTTTACCAAAAATTACAAAAATATTTGTAAAAATTGGGAAATGAAGATATCGCCCTCAAATGAGCAAATCTGACAATTGAGTTGTTAGTTTTCAAGAAGAAAATGACTATGGACAATCACCTTTATGAACAGCTCTGCTCTGTCATCTACGATGACATTGAAGCTAAACAAAATTTAATCAATTTCTTCGATTTTTTAAGTTTTTTGTAGGCTTTCATCAAATTCTAGGAAAAAAAAGACTACTATACAACTGATCAGAATGAAACTTATATAATTGTGCATATCTTATTACATTAACACAATCTGTTTTCACAGAACTACACAAAGGATGAGAAACTTACAAAGTTTTTTCGAATTCTAACAACCAGTCTAGATGAGAATGGGATGGAGTTTGTTTCTACCATGGAAGGTCTGCCTCATTAATAGATACAACTATTACTTATTACTTGCGCATAGTTGTTGCTGAATATCAACTATCCTCCAAAAGAAAAAAGTGTGTACTAATACGATTTCATACATTTCAGAATTTCTTTACTTCTGCAGCATATAGATACCCATTTTATGGTGTTCAGTGGCATCCAGAGAAAAATAACTTTGAGTGGATGTTAGAACAGTATATCAACCATTCTGAGGAGGCGGTGCTGGTCACACAATATTTGGCAAACTTCTTTGTGCAAGAAGGTGAGATATCTTTATCATATTGATTCAGCTACCAATCAGAAAGCTGCACTAGATGTGATGTATTGATTTATACTCAATATCAAGAAAACCAGTGGCAATTTAAATTGACTTTTGTTAATTCAGCCATTTTGAGCTATGCACACTTGCTGCATCACTTTTGACATATCACTACATAGTAATCAACTGGCATAACACATATGTATATTACCAAATAAAGTAGTTCACAATAGCTGAATTCTCTGAGTGAGAGGTAATTCTTACTTTTTTATTTTTTGTATGTCTTACACAGCTCGTAAAAGTGCTCACAAGTTTTCCAGCCAGTCAGAAGAACTCGCTGCACTGACCTACAGTTACACACCGGTGTACACTGGCTCAAATACAAACTTTCAACAATGTTACTTTTTGAAAGAGTAAATAGCACTCTCCTTGGATTACATTGATTAATAATAATATTTTATTTACACAACACTGACACAGAAATCTAGAGCAGTACGGTCTCAAAAAACAACAACTGCAAGTTAACATTGTTTTTCCTTTTTTCATTGATAATACTAATTATTAGTGTTTTAAAGCGAAGGCATTATCACCCATGAAAGAACAGGAATTGAGTCATAAGTGATCATACCAATGCACACGAAAAACACACAGGCTCATGAGTAGATGCTTGTTTGTAAAAAAATCATGCTATGGATGTCCATCGCATGCACAGGTGATGACTCCCCTGCTTTAATCCTATCATGGAATAATTTTTGGGGCAAATGATTACAACATTCATTTATACAAGTGTACCACAGTGATATATAATATTGAATAAACATTTCCAAGTAACCTATGGACGAAGACGAATTTTATGGAATATAAATATTCTTTCCTGTCAATGAATGCAATAATATGTTCTAGTAATTAATGTATAACAAATTGCAGAATCTTTAGCCAATCTGACTTGAAAAATGCTACTGTAACAATATTTTGAGGTTATAAAGCAAGGGTATTTGGTGGCTATATGCTAATTTTACCCGGAAAAGTCTTATATGTGTATACAATGAGTGTCACTACTATGCAGATAAAATAATATTTCTGTTGCAATAAAAATAGTTTGAAAACCTCAAGTCTGGTGCAGTTTATAATACATATGAGGTTCACGTTAAAACGAAAATGTCAATGCAAGGAAATCAAATCAGTCTAAACACACTATTATTAGTTATAATTAGTCTCCATCAGACGTAGTTTGAAACAGGCACTTATGGTTTGGTTCCTGTTCGTCTGTGTATCTGTCTGTCATCATTTTGCGATTTTGTTCGAAGATGATATTAAGTCATACTAGACTATATACACATCAATATATTTTTCATTTGTTTGACCGGCTGGTGACCAAAAATTAACATTTGGAGGTGTCATCATCCACATCATTTTGTTTCATGATTAGATTCAAAATCCCTGACTGGTGGCCTTTTTGTGTTTTTCACAAGTCTCCTATCTATTTCTCAGATGCGTTTTCACAGATTTTGTTTAAATTTTGTATAAAGACATAATGAGTTGCATGACCCTCTCGGGTATTTTGGGGTTTTGATAACATTTAACTGGCTGGCAGCTATTTTCACCGAAAAACTAAAATCAACAAATTTACTAAAATGTATAGCTTAATAACTCATCATTAAAGTGCCTGTGCAATGCCCACCCTCACGTTTTCCATTTAAGATCTGTGTCCCACTGAAATGGGCAGTTATTGATTTTTTTGCTGAAAATGATCCAAGTAAATTTGGGATATTTCTCGTGTTGTAGCCACGCCCACCTATCCTGAAACGGTCGACTGTTTCCGACTCTAGCCGAAAGTGCGCCACCAAATGCCAAAATATGAGAGGAAGTCATACCCCTGAGTCGTAATAACACTGGTCATTCAGTATACTTTTAAACGATATACATTTTTCGGTCAGCGTTTTTTTTGTCTATTTTTTTTTTTTTTTTTTTTTGAGAGAGAGTTTTTAGATGTTGTGTTACGGGCAGTTGCAGTGAAACATATAGTCATAGTGTAAGTATTTACACGTTTCTAATCGATCCGAAAGTGCGACATTAGTGGACGAAAGCCACTTAACCTCAGCTTCTTTTTTTGGAAAAACTGTCCTCGTCCATGAAAAAACAACTAGGTTTAAAGAGAAACGCCGACAACATAAACACTTTTGAAAGAAATAAATTCCGGACTATGATCACCGAGGAAGATTTCAGACGTCTGGCAAGTGTTTCAAATGAGTTGACTCTTTTTGCGATCCTGATTATGTTTTATAGAGACCATTTAGTCCCTGTTAAGTAAAAGGTAGCAATAATTTTGACAGTGACACGAAAACGAAGCGTCGGACAAACAGGAAATTACACAGCCCTTACACACTGCTAATTGTTTTCATTTTCGAAGGCTAAAGTTTCTGAATTGTTTGGTGATTGGTGTTGAATGTCGAATTCGCACCTCTGTTCTTTTTTTACCTCCATGATTGCAGCTTGATCTGCGTAATAATATGATGTTATAATTATGACAATCACTCCATGGATCACGCTAACTCGAATTCATACTGAATTTATCTGTATGTGTGTCGATCTCGATTATTTTTGTTATCCAATTAAACGCCGCTTTTAATGCACTTGCCCTCGTCGTGACCCGACGCGTTCACTATTTCAACAAAATTTCAATTTATTTCCACGTGGCTGTCATTTATTTATATAGTAACTGTGATTTGTCATTTTTATAGTGATCACTATAGTCTAATGTTTAGAATGTCAAAATATGTGTTCTCTTTTATTTTAATTTTGAAAGTTTTACTCAGACGATCGATGAAATAAAACAGTGTAGTGACGTGCCTAGTAACTTATTTTGTCCAGCGACAGTGTACAAACGTGTGCTGGTGACGATCACGGTGACCAGCTACACCAGAACGGACATATTTCGCATCTAACTCAACCCCATGCAACAAAAATTGATATTATGTGTTTATTATGGTCCATTCCTCCTCGACGAACAAGTACATAAGTGAAAATTTAGTCAAAGACGAGAAAACTGCACAAGAAATTTGCCTTATTTACACATATCGGCAATGCAAGCTGCCATGCGACTTCCCCTTCTGACGTCACAAGGGGAATTTCTGTATGCAAATAAGAAGCTAATGAGGAACCTCGTTTTAAAATACACAAAAATAAAGTTGCTAAAGATTGAGTTTGAAACACATTTTTTCACTTAAAAAAATAATTCATGCTTAGAAACATAAAAATTAATAATATTTATGTATCAATGGATAATTTTAGGCGTGAAAATAGCAGCCATTTCACAGGCACTTTAAATTGACGATTTGTTGTCAAAAACCAAAAAATTACTCATTCTAACCATTTGGCTATATCAAACACTAAGATTCACTCCATTCAATTACCCACCATAGACTGGGGTCAGTCGAAATGACTATTTTGAACTGTAGGCATTAATCAGCAATTCTGCCAGTGACGAAAAGATAGAATCTAGGTCAGGGGAAGCCCCATGACCCCAAGATTCTTTACCCTTACGTCACGAACCCACGTGACCAAGGCCACATGGCAGCACCATAGACGGCCGTACAATCACTCTTCTTTCTTCTCCGCCTCGTCGGGGATGATTCTGAGCGGCTCTGCCTGGCTCTTTTGTTTTTTCCTGTCCGGGTTTCTAGCGCGGGTCATCGCCGCAGCCGCGGCATCCAGCATTCTATCTGGCAGGATAAGTTTTTCTTGTCTTTTTACCCTCGTGTCGTTTTCCCCTTTGTGTGTTATGCTTTTCAACAACAAAGAAATTAAATCCCGGTGCCACTACGTAACCACATGTTGGTTTCATGGCGGCACCTTTTACAACTGTATCTTGTTTCCCTCATGCATGTTGTCGTTTATTTATAATGTATTTAGAAATGAATAGATGCACTGGCAATGCCAGAAGCTCGCCACCGGTACTATTGTGGCGGATCTGCAACCATTGTACTCAGAACTTACAGGAATGGAACCCGCATGCTAAATGCTATCGATGTACTACGTGCATATGGGGTTCAGGTGTCTGCCCAGAGGGTATTTGCGGTCGCTGGGATTCTGAAGCCTGGGATTCTTTCCAGCAGTTTGTAAAAATTGCCGAGACTGACCGCGTTGCTCGCTCGCAAAAAAGGTCACGCGGCAAGTGCTACCGGCATGGGTATGGGTGAGTTGTGCGTTGGCATGAGTGAGAAGTCCTCGCGCTCGGCCTCTTAGCCGACAAGCAGGAAGAAACACGGAAAGCACCGTTCGCATTCTAAACATCCCCGCTGATTCGAGGGAGGCCAAGGCTCAGGCTAGTGGCAACGGGTCTCCTCGGGGACCTCAGACGCGTAACACCAACGGGACGCTGGTAGCCAAGGCTCTGTTTTCGGGGCAGGGCGTTCTGGTCAGGACATGCATTGTACCTCCCCCCCGCTTTCAACCAGCTAGGGTTTGCCGCGTGGTACCGGGCTTATTAATTTACCTTCAAGTCCGAGCTCCGCTGTGGGTTTCGACTCCTTTCTCGATGACTCACAGGCGTTCCCAGAGGGAATCGACCCTGTCATGAGATGCACTCTCGAACACACTCTCGCTCACATATTTAAGCTGATAGCTGGCAGTTTGGTCGCGTCGGATACAGTGGGTACCTTGGGTGGTCCCTCAGAGTCCTCATTGTGTAATGACTTGGTGAGCCACGCCGTTGGGGTGATGCGGAATATTATCAGTCCTGGTGACACTATATATATCCCCCCACCCTTGATCCTAAAGCAGCCACTTACGGCCGCTTCTATGCTGATGGAATTGCAGGCGTCGGGATCCAGATCGACCCCACCCGCACGTCTCCTCTGGTCCAGCCGAGTGCTGAGCACCGGGTGAAGGGTGGCACGCAGACGGTGTTGAGGGGCAGTCGTTGGTCAGCCGCGGAGGAGGTAGCGCCGAAAGCCTCGGGCTGGGGTAATCTTTTGCATAACTCCTTTCGCTGGACTAAACGCTATCCTATTGGGGCAATCTCGCATTCGAACCCCAATTCGTGGGACGAAACCAGAAGACCCCGACCGGATCCCAAGGCTTCTTCCCCAGACCCCGGTACTACAAATTTCTGTTTTGCTAACCTGGTGAAGGCCGTGTTCCATGGTCATTTTCTTCGACCCATTCTGAGACTATCCAACATGCCCTTCGGGTTATCCACAGTGCCCTACGTGTTCACCAGAGTGATGAAACAAGTAGTACTGCTGCTCCACCAAATGTCGGTACACATCAATCCGTACCTAGATGATTGGTTGCTACACAACCCAGACAAGGGGTTATTAGCCGGACATGTAAGGCTTACACAGGATTTACTTCACCAGTTGGGCTTTCTAGTAAATCAGAAAAAGTTCCATTTTGACTTGACTCAACAGTTGGTGTTTCTGGGCATGGAGTTCGACACCGAAATAGGCCTGGTTCGTCCATCTCAAGCGTGTTGCCTAGCGCTAAGCAACCTAGCAGAATGCCTAGTCAGCGTTCCTTCAGTGTCCCTCGGAGAACTAATGCGGCTCATCGGAATGATGACCTCCGTTCGAAGGGTAGTTCCCCAGGCCGCACTACGCAGTCGCCCGATCCAACGCTTGTTGGAACA